ACCAAAACACTTTTACTTTTACACTGGACGCGCGTTTCGCTAATCTGCTGATGATGCTAACATGGTTAGCGAAACGCGCGTCCAGTGTAAAAGTTAAAGTGTTTTGGTGTATTGTGGTGATTTAGTGTTTTAATTTTACTTAAAGATACCAAAATTCGTTTAACAACTAATAATTATGTGCAAGATTATCGAAAAGTGTAAATTATTTAAAAATATATAAAATAAAGTTACACCAAACACAATATTTTAATTATTTTTACAATATACATAGAGATTTGCGTGTTCAGTATGTTAAAAGTTCTAAGTTTCGTCTTTGGTTTCGTACAGTTTTAGATAATCCCCAAAATTGAAACTAATGTACCTAATGTTTCTAAATTAGTATTTATTCAATGAATGCTATCTTATTCACCTAATTAAGTGAACAAGAAGCTTTACAGTGTATGAGCGGTGTAGTAAAAATATCAAAAAGATAATGTTTTTTATTCGTTGTTGTTATCACACTAGTAATATAAACATCATTATAATTTAAGAATCATCAAAAAATTTTCAGCTAAAAGCGATTCATTATTGAATTATAAGAAATTTGTCTCTCCTGAAAAAATAGGATGAGTGGAGATTTTGCTTCTATACCCCTCGTATTATGAAATATTTTGAAGTCTTCTAAGATTTATGTGGTTTTATTATTACAGAAAATAATCTAATAAGTCTAACATCTACAAATCCATAAGCAATATATTAGTTTATGTTTGATTTGTTTCACTTTTCCTTGGCAGCTTTATTGGTCCAATTATAATTTTGATATTGTTGACGTTATTTTAGCAAACAATTTGACTTATTTGATTTACTAGTAAAAAACTACAGATAAGCTGGTTTCCATTGGATTCAATGCACTGGTGTTTACAAAAAACAGTATTTTATTTTGTAGATTTTCTTCCAGTGGCAAAAAGATGAACCGACTGAAAAATTTTCAGACTTCAATTTTCAAACTTTAATTATTGTTTTAATACATATATTAAGAATTGAAATTTGAATTTGAGAGAGACAGAAAATTATATTTAGAAGAGATATAAGGAATAATTTAAATTTAAATTGTTGGACTTCCAGAGTTATTGGAGCGACTTGAAAGCTCCTGTAAGAAACACGGAATAATGATCAATTCCTCTAAAACCAAAGTCATGGTATTTGGAAAAATACAAAATGTACCAATTCCTATTAAAATAGAGGGCAATATCTTAGAACAGGTCTACAAGTTCAAATGTTTGGGGTTCTGGATAGTTAATACCTTGAACAACGACGTGGAAATAAAAACCAGAATATAACAGGCCAGAAATGAGTCTTTAAAAATGAAGAATGTTTTCCAGAACCCCAGATTGGACCTTGAGTTGAGAATTAGGCACATCAAGTGTTATGTTTGGTCAATACTATTATACGGAGCATGGACACTGTATGTTCAAGAGATTGAATCGTCTCCAGTCGTTCGAGACATGGATATATTGAGGAATGTTTAAAATTCCATGGACAGCCCATATCACAAATGCCGAAGTTTACAGAAGAATAGGTAGAGAAAGGGAACTTCTCAATATAATAAAAGTATGAAAAAAAATCGTATTCAGGCATAAATTGAGAAACGAAAAATATCACGTTCTACAAAGGGAAAAATTGAAGGAAAAGAGGTTTCGGCAGGAAAAAACTATCTTGGTTTAAAAAAAATCAGTAATTGGACTAAGATGAGTCCAATTACTGATTTTTTCAACTTTTTTTTTACTTCAGAAAGTTCATAAGAAAAGCCGAGATTCGTAAAAAATTTGCCAATGTGATCGCCAACCTCCACGAAAGAGACTAAGAAGGCGCGTAAAGAACGTAAAGAAGAAGAAGAGTATGCAAATAATGTTAAACTAACAATATAACTTTCTAATGGATTGCCTTAATACTAGCAATGGGCCTAGATCCTGAGTGAAAAAAAGATATACTTTTTTCTTGTCTGTTTTTTTACATTTTTGACAAACCACACGCATACATACAGGTTCATCAAAACGGAAGACTGTTATTGAATGAATTTTTCAGTCATATGTCCTTTCTAAGTTCGTCCGTATATCACATATGATGCAGTCATCAACTTTTCTGAATTTGTATGAAATTCATATTAAAAAATAACAAAGGTATATTTTTGTAATATTTAACTTTTCATATTTTTATATTAACTGTCATATAAAGCAATCAACTCTTCCTTGAGTTATAACTCATCATACATTTTCCTGTTGTAGGAAGGACAGGGTATTTCCCATCCTCCTCTGACAACCGATGTTCTTCCTCCGAAGGTATACACACTTCCACGGTTGAAGTTTGGCCCTCCGTGCCCTTCATAGTCGAGGAGTTTGCCTCCTACTGCGGCTGACATACCCGTGAGACGGAAGCTGGAAGATCTGTCCCCATTTTTTCCACCTCTTTAAGTTGGTCTCTCCTTAGACCTGATACCGGTGTTTTCCCATATCTATAATGAAGGATATATCCCTCTTTCTTTATTGCCTCCTTGGATTTGATATCAATTCCTATGGTGAGGACCTGAAGATGACCCTCCTCCCTCGAGTTGGTGACTCGCCAACTCGATGTCCTTACATTGGGGTTCTGAACCTGGATAAGAGTCAGCAGGTACGTGGTGTCTTTCCCCTTGCTCCTCGGTAGAAAGACCGTCATGGCTACTAATATTTAACTACCCCTTTTGGGATGTTTTCTCCCTTCACTGCAACCAGGTCCGGCCCTTGCCTATTAACTATCATACTTGAGAACGGATTTATTTACAATGTACATTAACTAAAACGCTAATTTAAAGTAACTATTTAACTATTACTTCTTGAATAAAAAAATAATATAATATAGAGTTTGAGTTGAAGGATTTTCATATTATGTTTTTTGTAATCGATTTTATACATTCTTTTTGAGTAAGGTGTAAACGTAGTCATAGTTAGGGCGTAGGTCCCTTGTCGTGGGGTAAAAATCACCCCCATTATGGTGGCGCGGCCGTAGAAAATAATGGCGTTGATATAAATAGCGGCCTTCGTCCTAATTTAATAGGACCGAAAGTTAAATAATAAATTAATCGGAATTTGTTTTCGAAAAGAAGAAACAGAAATAATTACTCGGATATTTATCGATTGGTCTGGTGACGACGGGCATAACTATCTAAATTACCAGACATGGGGGTTAATTTTGGGTCTGTTAATAAGGGCACCAATGTTGAAAATGACGTAACCTTCATTTAATTAAGTGGTCTCATTTTGATAATGAAAACACGGTCAGTAGAATTAAAGTTGAATTGATGTTTAGATGAATATTGATGACTCAATGTATAAAATAAGAATTAATACAGAGGTGGCATATTTACAAATATTTTTGTAAAGAAGACATGACAAAAAACTAAATTTTACTCTGTAGCCCAATCACTAGTTAAAATTTGACGAATGAATAAAAAGAATTACAAAGTAGACAACAATAACAGGATGGCGCAGCGCCTCTCATACGCCGCGGAGGCACCAAGGACTCATAAGGAGAACCAGAGTCTGTATTGAAATGAAATTTTGCGAGCATATTTAGGTTAATTCAGAGCACTTTTTAAAAATATGGTGAGTTCTACAGGGTGTCCCCAAAAAAAGTTACATATCAAAGTTTTTTGTAATGGAACACCCTATATATTAATTGATTTTCGGATTCTGGGAGAAAAATAAAGTTGAGTTTTATAAGAGAAGTATATGACTAAAATGTAAGGTTTTCGACATATTTAACATTTTCCAGAAATAAAGCACAATTTTTAAATTACAATAAAAGCTATCTAAATTGGAATTTACCCGGTATAATCTAATATGTAGTTAAATTGACTATTGTACTTTAAATCAAATTAAAACTTGATCCAAAAAATTATACAGGGTGGGACAAAATTAATATTGAGCATTGAACTTCAAAAGTATTTTACTCCGATATTCAATGGAGAATTCATCTCTCTTCAAAATACTATTAAGGTTGCCTCTCAAACAATGTTTTTCCTAGATATTTTCATTTACATGATTTGATCTGAGTAGATCTTTATTATTTGATAAAAATCTGGGTGGCTGGTGATATGTCTGACGTTATTTCAACATAGCTGTCAATTAGTCCAACTTTAACAACTAGTTATCATTTTGTGTCAGTTAAAACAAAAAAAATTCTCAGAAATTTGCCGAAAATTCAAACTTATCACAATTTTTTTAATTTTAATTCACACCAATTAATAGAATACTTAAATGCTCCTGATTTTATCTAGTCTGGATTGTTTTATGGTATATTAGAAAAAACACAACTTTGATGTGTAACTTTTTCTAGGGACACCCTGTATAATTATATATATTTTTATAAAATGCTTTCAGTTAACCTACAAAATCTTATTTCGAAATAAACTACCGTTCTCTTTGGAGCTTTCCCGCCGTATGAAAAGGTGCCACCCTGTATATCTATCCAGCCCTATCAAAATTAAAACAGAAGACGGCATTTCTGAAAATGTACCAGTCTATGTTGGCGCGAGGCAACGGGACCATCGACATACTATACTAAAGTATTTAGTATAGTATGTCGATGGTATGTAATAAAGTATTAGTATAGTATTTAGTATAGTAAGTCAATGAACGGGACAGCCTCAGTCCTACTCTCTTAATATTAATGAATTAATGATCCATAATATCATTACGGATCAGATGATCCAAGATGTGAAACTCTTGGACATTCGATACAGAATGGGTCGGAAATCCATCGGAATTGTAAATGCAGACGAAGCAGTACTGATGGCAGAAAACGAGGATGACCTAGGTCTCCCTCTCTTTCGTGTGCCTTGTGGTGTTCAATTGAGTATTTTTTCGGGATTCTGCTCTCTTCCATTCTTTGTACGTGCCTGTACCACCTGAGTTGGTTAATTTTGATGTCTTCTGATATTCTGTGTTTAACGCCCATGATGTTCTGAATTCTTTCATTTCTAACTATATCCAGTTTCGATTTTCCGCCCGCGCGTCTCCAAAAGTCCATTTCTGTAGCTTCGAGTAACTTAAGTTTCTTTCTTTTAAAGGCCATACTACACTACCATAACTAGTGATACTTTTAACTATGCTGTTATAAATTTTGTGTTTGTTTACTTTTGATACGGCCTTATCCCATAAAATACTATTGAGTTGTCTAATTGCTTGTCTTCCCTGGTTGTTTCTGCACGTAATTTCTTCATCAAGGCTACCATCGTTGGTAATGTGCATGCTAAGATATTTATATTTTTGGCAGTGTTTTATTTCTTGCTGTTGCTGTTCTAGGATTATGTTCTGTTGTTCGCCGCCGATACACATATACTCCGTCTTCTTAAGGTTTACCTCCAGCCCCCACTTGTTATACTCTTCAATTATTTTGCGGGTCATATATACCAGCTCCTCGTAGTCTTGAGCCAGTATTATTAGATCATCAGCGAAACAAAGAGTGTAAAGTATCGAGTCGTTTAGTGGTATCCCCATCTGTTCACACTTCCTTTTCCACGTTTTCAGAGCTTGTTCCAAATAGATTTTAAACAGTGTCGGCGATAGACAGCAGCCCTGTTTAAGACCTTTGTTTATGCTGTATCCCTTTGATACTGTTTGTCCTTTCTTTACTTGGCTAGTGTTGTTCTTATAAAGTTCTTGGACAGCCTTAATTAATGTTATGCTGATATTCGTTTTCTCGAGGACTTCCCACAATTTAACTGGGGTACACTATCATATGCTTTCTTGAGGTCTACGTAGAGGAGATGTATTTCTTGATTTCTTGCCATCTTTTTCTTCAATTATCTGTGTCGGTGTAAATAAATGGTCGACCGTGGATCTACCAGCTCTAAATCCCGCTTGTTCTTCAGCCTCCATATCCCGGTATTCTTCCTCAATTCTCTTTTTGACCAATTTTCCATAGACCCTTGAAACAGAGCTCAGCACGGAGATTGCTCAATAGTTATCGCAATCGTCTTTACTTCCTTTCTTGTGTATTGTTCTTATATATGATGTATTTCTTTCGGTATATTTTCACTATTAAGGCACTTTTGGAAAAGACTAGCGAGCTGCTTATATAATTTATCCATGCCGTACTTGAGTAATTCTGGAGGTATTTCACCTGGACTAGGCGATTTTCTATTTTTCAGGGTTTGGCAAATTTGTTTTACTTCTTTCGTATTGATCCTCAGTGGAGAAGCTGCGGTTCTTATTTGAATGTCGGATTGTGGCTGCGATGTTTGTTGGTATTCGGCCCTTTCTTCGGTCAACAGTTAAGCAAAGTATTCGTCCCATTTTTGGTAATGTAATTGATGAGATGATATCTTTAGTCTTCTCTTTTCGAAGGGACCTTAATATTCTCCAGCTTTCGGTACTTCTACTACCTCCTATATATGTATTAATTATTGTGTAGTTTTTTTTCCCAGCTTTTGTTTTTCTTTTTTGTTATAGCTGTGAGTACAATTCTTTGTGCTGTTTTGTATTCATGCTTACTTTTGTTCGATTTTATATTTAAAAATTTGTTGTACTTTTCTCGTTTAGCTTTTATCATTTCCTCAATTTCTTCATCTCACCAGTATGGTACTTCGTTTGGGTTTGGCGTATTTTCTCAAAGCTTCTTCTGATGCACTTCTCATGCAGTCTATAATATAATTGTACTGTTCTTCTGTACTTTCAAAATTTTCTTTTACAAGTTTTTCATCCAGTCGATTTTTGTATAAATCCTTCACGCTCTCGTGGTTGAAGCTATCTAAATTATATTTTATTTCTGTTGTCTTTTCTTCCTGTTCTCTTTCGTCTATTTTTTTACCATTCGAAAGGGTAATATTTTGGACTTGACAAGATGATGGTCACTGCCACATGTCGCTCCTCTGTAGACTCGTACGTCTTGAATCTTTAACGCTGTATACTGCGGACTATCACATAATCTATGACGGATTTCAAATTTCTAGAATGTTGTATCCAGGTGTACTTATGTATGTCACGGTGCTGAAAAAAGCCGTTCAAAATACGGAGGTTATTTTGGTCGCATATATTGGTAAGTCTATTTCCATTATCGTTAAGAGTTTCTTCTCCGAACTGGCCTACTATTTTATCATGTAGTTTCCTTCCTATCCTAGAATTTAGATCTCCTGTCAGTATTATTTCTCTGGATTGTCCTATTTTTAAAATTTCATAGGAAAGTTGCTCAAAGAACTCCTCTTTGTCTTTAACTAGGGCATCATCGTTAACTGCATATACTCCTATTATCGTGATATTTTTTCCATGCAGACTCAGATTCATTTTGATGAGGCGTGGGCTAACCGGTTCCCAGGAGGCGATACATCTCTCAACATGCCGTGGAAAAAATGCAATCAATAGCAAAAGAACCATCAATCTACATACAAACCATCTACATACAAACTCGTATTTAACAACCAAACAATTATCCAAGTGTCCCAATTTAAATACTTGGGCGTGAATATCTCTTGTAAACAAAGGAATCTGTCAGACGAAGCAAGGGTCCAAGTAAATAAAGCAGCACGAATATCTGGCTACTTAAGAGATACCATATGGAGAAATAAATTTATGTCAAGAGAAAGTAAAGTTCGCATATACAAGATACTTGTGTTAGGCCAGTTCTTACCTATGCTAGAGAGACTTTGAAACATCAAAAACAAATACAATACTCAGAACAACAGAAATGAAAGTTTTAAGAACAATACGCGGAGTCACTCTAAGAGATAGAATGCGAAACCACGACATCAGAGAGGAACTGGGAGTGCAAAACGACATCAGAGAGGAACTGGGAGTGCAAAACATGGTGAGGTGGGGAATATCAAGAAGACGTCATTGAGAGGACTGCGTTGAAAGAATGGACCACGATAAAATAACAAAATGGGCGCGAAGAGAAATACCTATCACACTCAGACCACCTGGCAGACTCGGCATTGCATAGGGATAACCCTATTGAAGAAGAAGAAGAGACAAAGTAGAAAGTTTTGACGCAGTTAGTTTCTATTTGAGTTTAATGATGCAAGAAATACAAAATCCACAGACCACATTAAAAATATAACACCTCCTTGGCACCAAGATAATAGGGCACAAAATACTCTAGACTATACTTACCAATCTGATCGTTTAAAATATAATTCGGACATTGCACTAATACAAAATTAAAGGAGCAAATCAATTAAAAGAAGTAATTACTGCAGATTTATATACCTAATATTTAGTTAATTGAGTGACATTTAATTTATGGCAAATATTCAATTTTATACAATAATAAAATTTGTATTTGATAATTATTTGCTCTATATTTTAAGTAACTCAATTAATTCAACTCTATGTAAATATCCATATATTCCTCGGGGCTTTATTAGAACATTAAATCATTTACTAAAATATGTCGATATTATTTGTATATTTAATAACTTGTGTAAACCGCCCCTTTTAAATGCAGAAATAGGTCTCATACATAAGTTTCCATTCTTCTTGTTTGCATTTGTATATAATACAGCGTGCTATAAATTCGGGATTTGTTATTAAATTAAGGCAAAGTTGCGCCATGGGATGTTCGCCAACATGCAATCAAAAAAGTTTAAAAATGTCATCAAGGACAGATTTTTTTGAAAAAAACGGCTTTTTAAAAAATAAGTTGTATTTTTTCCTGTAGTTTTTTTTATAAAATCTAAAAACTAATTGGCACCCCTCACGAAAACACACGAAAATGGGACGGCCTGTACAATTTTTTAAAGTTTTCTGTTGTCAGTAAAACAGAAACTGAAATATGTTATGTTGAAATATTGTTGGAGCATTTAATCGCTAACTTCCACTTAGCTTGTAAAAAGCATTTTTATTTGATACTCTGAGCTGGGTCACCACAATGGATAAAATTACCTGAACATCAGTCCGATTTACTCATCGAGGCCATTTTACGTCAATAAAATTAGATTGTAACGTAGACACTTGGCCCTACCTGAGTTCTTGTCGTATACCGGCGATACCCTACAAAGGATACAGCTTCGGATTACCAAAGGGTACAGTCTGAAAGCTAGCATGCTATCTTTATAAAGAAAACAGCAAAGTCTCGTTTATAAGTGGCTTATCCCCTCAATCTTATTACATTATCCATGCATAATGTGTTGATTTATGTAAATAAGAATTTAGAGTATAGTTTTTATGATGATATAAGGACAGACATAGTTCTATATTATATTAATCTATGAATATTATTATTTTTTAATTCTAGCAATTGATATTTTAATATCTTACCAAATTTATCAACACATCTAGCTAGATTAATTTAAAAAATTGCCGCCGGGAAGCACGTATAAAACTAATACGCCTAACACGCCCATACTAAAATATGTTAATAAAAAGTTGGTAGGCAGTTCTTTTAGATTCAATTATCTCAAAAACTGCGACTTTGACTGATTTTAATGTTAGTACAAATTTTGTTGCAAATATTATTCCTAATCTTAAATTAAAAACAGCGTTTCGCTAGCTACTGTAATTTTGGAGTTACGATTTTTTAAAATTTTTAACCCCTCCCATACCCCCCAGTAACAACCGCCCACCCCCACCAAAAATAATGGCTAGATTATCGGGTGCCACAGTATTTTTGTGCCAATTTTGGTTAAAATCGGTTTAGCGGTTTTTGAGTTATCGTGTTACAGACAGACGGACAGATCGACAGACACCAGGAAAATATTTTGTATTTAGGTCATTTATGACCCAAATAACTAATTTTGAGTGACATTAAAAAAACTTTCTTTTGCCTGTTGGTATGATCAGCTAAAAATATTATAAATTATACTTATACCGGGTGCGTCTCAAAAGTGGCTCACCCCTATAACTTTTTATTTTTTCATATAAAAAACGAAATTTGGTATGTTAGTATATGACATAAATTAGGATTGATTGACGTATTCAATTGTTTGTAGTCACTTCCTGTTTCACCGGAAATGACTTCAACTTTTGATTTTTTTTTACTTTATTCGATAGAAAATGACACTCTGAATAGAATGACATATCATATGTCAACTTTTGACATTCTCGCTTAAAAAAAATGTATTTTAAATTTCCATCTAGAGTGCGATGGCTGTGATAAAAACAGAAATTTTTAATGAAGGGGTCTTGGAAAAATAGATTTGATCGTCTAATGTTTTTAGTGTCTTGTCCTGGACGGTTAAAAGATGCTCAAAAATCGTATTTTTAATCATATATCAAAATAAGCGAGGGTGGCTCATTAGCATATTTGGAAAAAGCATTTTTTTACGAATAATTTGGTACCACATACAAGTATGTGGTACGTATGTGGTCTTTTCTTTATAGTTTTTCGTGGTTCCAATTTTCGGAATCGGGCACTAGTTAGGATAGTACTTTGCGCACATAGCACGCCCACTTATGGCCTCTAAAATTGTGCACAGCGCCTGACCGGCACAGTTATTAGAGAGATATCGGAAAACCGAATAGCGTCATGCAGTATTTACGCGTACCTTATCATGGTTACGATATGCGCGAGTCAATTTTTAGCGCAACACTCGCTAATAACGTTACCGCCTGACATAATATGCGAATCATTTACATCAAGCGCTATTTCTAAATAACGTTCAAAAATTGCTTAAATGGGCATGTGCGGGTACATTTGACAACAGGGGCCGGCCGACGAGCGGCGAGATCTTTTATTTTAGGTTATGTTTGAATTGTTTTGAATTATTACTTTAGTTTTATTAGGTAATTTGATATTTAAGTAGCTGGGATAAGTTTTAATTAAATAAATATGGCCTAAAATATGGATTCCACCTCTTCCATTATTAAAGAACCTATAAAGAGGTTTAGGTTTACAGCAGATGACAACTTAGCCCTTCTAAGAGAATTTGTTGCTTGTTGCCCTAAACCCACTGTCAGACGTTGAACAATGAAGCACTGGAAATAAGCACTTTAGCCCTTTAGTTTTAAAATACCTATATAGTAAACAAAACAATTTCAAAATTTTAAATTCAAAGTTAGGTTAAGTTTAAATAGCGGACGCGACGAGAACAGAATTCTTTCCGATCCGATAACTATAAATGAAGAGAGTTAATACCACCTCACGTAAAGGAAATAACACCCTTATATTAACGTCCATGCACGCTATTCGGTTTAGCGATATCTCTCTATTACGCTGTTTATTGTTATTTTACGCGAGTTTATTTTTGCGCACAGGAAATTTTACTCGTTTGCACATCGTCATAAAAAACAATTTTCGTACCACGAATTAGGGATAAGTATATGGTACCAAATTATTCGATACAAGTATGTGGTACCAAATTATTCGTAAAAAAATGCTTTTTCCAAATATGCTAATGAGCTAATGATGCTAATGTATTTCAAGTCAAATTATCGTTATGAACCGCATGTTACACTTTCTTAATAAACCATATACGCAAATGTCAAAAGTTGACATATGATATGTCATTCTATTTGGAATTGAGAGTGTTATTTTCTATCAAATAAAGTAAAAAAGTACCGAGGGTGCTATTTAAAATTCAAAAGTTGTAGTAATTTCCGGTGAAACAGGAAGTGACCGAAAACAATTGAATACGTCAATCAATTCTAATTTATGTCCTATACTAACATATCAAATATCGTTTTTTATCTGAAAAAATAAAAAAGTTATAGGGGGCGAGCTACTTTTGAGACGCACCCTGTATATAACAAGTTACTGAATATTCAGTATTTCTATCGTTAAATCTATTCAAAAATTATAAAAATAAAGAAACTATATCTTTCTATATAGACGGAAATCACATAAAACATATGTTAAGACATTGATACAGTTCAAAAATGTGTCTTTTGCAGCTTCCGCATTAGTAGAGCCCAAAAAAAGAACCCTTGAGAAATGTCTGAACTTCCTAAACCATTTCATCAATGTTGTCATTAACTACAAATATCAGTCAACGAAAATTAGGAGATAACGAATGTGTGAATACTATTCGTATTTTTAAACCAACTGTATTCTTGTTAAATTGCTAGTAATCACTCACCTTCGTGCTAAACCTAGTTAGAAAAATACCTCCTAAAAAATAGAAAAAAAATAGAAAGCAAAATATTTATGATATAAAAATAATTACATTTTTTAATTTTAATTAGGGCAATTAGAAAAAGTTTAAATATTAACGGACGCATAATTAAAAACAAACGTAAATGTTTTTTTTAATAATTTTGTCTGAAGTAATCAAGAAAAAAAATTAGATGTTTTTTTTTAATAATTATTCATTTTAAGTAAAAGTAGCCACATCTATGTTATAATACTAAAT